TGAGGATAATTTTATCTCTGTGGACATGATATCTGTTAAAGGCTCTGCTGTTACTGAAATTGTGATTGAGGTGTGTGGGTGACATTTCACGATTTACTGATGTAATTATAAAACAATATTTTTTAGCTCCTGATTTTATTATAATTTTATTATGGCATATAGTTTTATTGCTTTATTTTAAAAGAGAGTGGAAGGGAGGATGGGAGGGGAGAGAGAGAGAAAAATATCATATCAATTGGTTGCCTCCCCCATATGCCCTAATTGGGCTGGGATTGAACCTACACCCAGGTACGTGTGCCCTTGATTGGGAATCGAACCTGTGACCCTTCAGTGCATAGGCCAATGCTCTAACCTCTCAGCCACACCAGCCAGGGCTATATCACACAATTTTCATTTGTGATATATTCTACCACTTCTCACCCCCTCCACCACTACCACTCTCATCACATGGTTTTACATGTTAACAATAATACTGTTGCTTCCTCAGTGGTATCCCTACTTCATCTGCACCCCAGAACCCCTTTAAACTACTTTCTATACAGCAGTCAATGATTCAATTAGAACTTATACCAGCTCATGTCACATCTTTTCCCCAAATTCTCCCTGAACTCACCTCATTGGATTAATATTTATTGAAAACCTACTCTGTTCTGTTCTAGGTTTTTGGATTAATCCAACAAGCAAGTCAGATTAAGAACCCTGACTTTATAGAGTGTATATTCTAAGAGGATGATACATAAAAAGTAAAAGTGATAGATTACATAGTAGATTAGAGGTGATACATACTGTGGGATAAAAATATAGAACAGGGTAAAGGGGATTCAGCATTGAGAGATGAAGATGGGAGTTGTTATTTAAGATAGAGTGACCAGGCGATCCATGAAAGAGATGAGGGAAGATATCTTGGAAAATAGTGTTCCAGGAAGAGAGACCAGTCAGTGCAAAGGCCTGAAGGCAGAACAATAAGGAACATTAAGCAGAATGAGCAATGGCCAGTGTAGTAGGATAGGCAGTCATTTCCTGCCAGTCAGGTCTTCCATAAACACACAACCATTACTACTACCACCAACAATGATAATGATACTAATAATCTCCCTATATAAAAAAACAGTGACTGGTCGCTATGATCCCCACTGTGGACAGCAAACTGTCAGATCAAGGGATGGAGCCAGTGGCCAATCTCCCTTAGCCCCTCTCTCTGGCAAGCCCCACTCCTGATTGGGCCCTGAACAAGGTGGGCCAATGTCCCACCATCTCCATCTCCTGACAGGCCCGGCTGGACCCCACCCATGCCTGAATTCCTGTACTGGACCTCTAGTAGTAATAATAATAAACTGGGATGATTATTTAGTATTATAATTTTACTTGATTTCTTCTTTATAATGTATATTCCATGAGGGTATTTTATTTGTCACTATTTTCAACTTTATAGAAGAGTATCTGTCTGGCACACAGTAGACTAAAAAATACTTGATAAATAGATGAAAAAGTATATCAATCTAAGTCACAGTTTATTTTCCTTAACATTAAAAATAACCAGACATTGAGAAAATCTGCAGAAAAATTAACACAATTGAACTCACAGCAGAACCATGCCATCATTTTATAACTTTGTCTTAAAAGGTTACAAAAATATATCATCTGAAATGCCTTGCTGTTTTATTATCCTTCTACAAATTATCCTTCTATAGTTTATTAAAATAGTTACTATAAACTTGATCTAATTTTCTTTTGAATACCCTGTCCTCTCCATCCCCACTATTTTGAGCAAGGTTTTCTTACGAAATAAAAACAGTGGTATTGATAACCTCTACTCCCCTGGAAGTCTGATATAAGGTCTTATCTTTCTAAAAGTTTTAAGGTTTGACATGTTTGATGGGTTACAGTTAAGTCTCTGCATTCTGAAAAATCTGACTTCCTTTCCATTGCCTTGAAAACCCATACTTTTTCACTAACGAAGCTAAACATGTCTAATCTAGAGAAGACCATTTTCCTCATTTTACCTAATTAATAACCTACTTGGATCACTCTTCCTCATATGTGGTTTATTTTTGGTGTTTCTGGCGTTGAATTTCACTGGTATCAAAAAGAGCCAATTTCTAAAAAAATGGAAAATTCATTAAGTAGAACTTAACCCATGAACCCACCGTATTTCTTGTCTTGGTTCCTAGAGGGGAACCACTGCTATTGACCTCTACTATCAGCCCTGAATTTAACTCTAACCCTTGAGTGGATAAAAGGCTTCAGAGAAGTATAAATAATCACACTTACAAATATAGGGTGGGGCAAAATTAGGTTTACAGCTGTTCATGGAAAATAACACAATAATGAACAAATAATGATATAAGAATAAACTGTGTTTGCATGTTCACAACTGTAAACCTACTTTAGCCCCACCTTGTATAAAGAGAATTCTACCCAAGATTTTTGGTGATAGTTTATTGGTTAAATTAATTTTGTGTAATTAAGTCTTCATTTCTTAATCACATTAGCTCTTGAATACAAGTAAATATATTCTTAGAAAATACCATTCGGTATTTTTAATTATGTTTTAAATACATATAAAAAATACATACATGGAACACTAACTATCAAAAGGGGAGTTGCATTGAATGCTGACTACAAGCTTATTTATTTCTTATAAACACTCTCAAAGTAAGAATTAATATTCCTATTTTATCCATTAAAAACTGAAATTAAAAATAAATAAACTTGTCTATTTTACAGAGCACTTAAAGACAGACTGGCTGAAACCAGTTTGGCTCAATAGATGGAGGGTTGGTCTATGGACTGAAAGGTCCCAGGTTCGATTCCAGTCGGGGGCATGTACATTGGTTGCGGGCACATCCCCAGTAGTGGGTGTGCAGGATGCAGCTGGTTGATGTTTCTCTCTCATCGATATTTCTAGCTTTTTCTCCCTCTCCCTTCCTCTTATAAGAAAATCAATAAAATATATTTTAAAAAATAAGTAAATAAAGACAGACTGAGATTGAACCCAGGTTTGTTTACTTTATTTACCATTATATTTTAATATTTCTATTACTATGATTCAATTCTCAATGGCTGGAATTATTTTCCATATGAACATTGATGATCTTACAGAGAGGCAAGTTTTCAAAAGTGCAGTTTTGTTCATGACTAGATTTCTTCATCCTTAATGGAAGGACTATCCATGACCAGAAACCATGGCAACACAGAAAGAGAATACGAATTTCAAGGAGCAGGAAGGAAATGTTTATATAAGTAAAATTTTTGCTTTTCTGTTGAAAAGGTCTTCAAAGATGCAACAAATGAGGAAAACAAGAATCTAATGATGCAGACATTATATGATACAGATAAGAGTATGTGATGAGCAACTGTTTTCTTATTCATCTCCTCGGTCGTAAACAAGTTCATTCTTTCAATAACAAAAAACAGGATGCCAGGAACCATTTTAGGCAACCAGGAAGACAGCAAAGAAAATAAGATACAGTTCCTATGCTTGAACAGTTGAGAGTCTGCATCTTTGCATGTTCGGGGAAAGATAAAAAAAAGATACCTGGGTAATTAAGAATATTATCCTATTCAAGTCCTGTTATGGTGCCTAGCTAAAAGAAGAAAGGCCAGACTGAGGTGAGTCTAACTAACTTTAGTGCCTCAGAGGGGGGGAAACATGTGTTTTCTGAAAGAAAAAATGTAACAGACAAAATCAGAGTAGTATGTAGTATAAAGTACTTCTGTTGCATCTTAAAGGCAACAAACCAGAGGGTTTACCTAAAACCTAAGAGAAAGGCCAGTTTCACCTTGTTCTCTCCTTTACCTGGACTGCTGTCATTCTCTGCTCAAATCAAGCCTCCGGATCCAATTTCCTTCTTCCCTGACTCCTGTTCCTTCATACCTTATTCTTGGGTCTTTCTTCAAACGTCAATTACTAAGTTTACATTCCTTTTAGCAGTACTCTTTTTCTATGACTAGCCTCCTTCAAGAAACATTGGCCATTGTGTCTCAAATCAAAGAGTGAAGCACGGAGACCTTGGCACGGAGATCTGATCTAGGCCATGTGGGGGCCAGGACAGCTTTTTGAAATTTTGGCTTAACAGCGGTCGATGATTGAGACCAAGAATGTGCCAGTTTGGAATTTCAGGATCCCTAGGAGAAGCCCTTTTTGAATTGAGGAGCTGGACTAAAAGGGGATGGACACAGGCTGGACTGGGAACGAGAGGTCAAAGAACCCAGCAAATTGTGTGACTTGAAGTAACAGGTCTTAAGGAGAGGGTCTCAGAGCAAAGATGTATGTACAGAAATCAGATTTCAGGCAGATAAACTGTTATCTAAATTTAATAATTTTCCAAATGCTTATCCATTTGGCTTTCCCATTAAAGCTTTCTCTCCTCCCCACATTTGTGAGTTTCACACACATTCATTTAATCAATAACTATTCATACAGCACTGTGCTAGGCACCAGAAAAAAAGCAAGACACAGAATTCCCTAAATAAGATATCAGAAATGACTGCATATTACAGCTACACTGTGAGCTGAGTCTTCATAAGTGACAGCTCACTCATTAAGGAAAAGTATTCCAAGCAAATAGCATTATGTTCCAAGGCCTAGACATGGGAGAGCCGGGATCAGTGAGGAATCACATGTTGTTCAGGGCAGGTTGAGTGAGGTGGGGGAGCGTTTGTGAGGTTCTCGGTCACCTATAAAAATTATTCATTAATTGGATATACAGAGAGTAAGGAAGACAGATTAGCCCATATGGAATAAAGTTGGGGGTTTATCATTCTCTGAGGTAGAATATAATGAGGAAATGAGTTAAAGTCAAGCAAGTTTGGACGTGAACCTGTTGAATGAGACATTAATGAAAACATCCAGGTAGAGAAATATCATCATCTATTTACCCAAGTATCCCAATCCTTCCCTTCATACATTCATTGCCAGAGTGACACTTTCTAGCAATTGGCAAATGCATTGGGCATGTATAGGATGTTCCATGTGGATAGTTTAAAGCAGTGGTTCTCAACCTTCCTAATGCCGAGACCCTTTAATACAGTTTCTTATGTTGTGGTGACCCCCAACCATAAAATTATTTTCGTTGCTACTTCATAACTGTAATTTTGCTACTGTTATGAATTGTAATGTAAATATCTGATATGCAGGGTGTCTTAGACGACCCCTGTGAAAGGTCATTCGACCCCCAAAGGGGTTATGGCCCACAGGTTGAGAACTGCTGGTTTAAAATAAGGAAAGTGGAGTTAGCACAGAACTCTAGTTTCAGGCTCATCTCATGGTGTCCTCCTTTGCTTCCCATGTCCTCCCCACCTCAACTCCTCAAAATTTCTAACTGAAGTAAAAAAAAATAAAAAAAAAAAATCAACAGATCAGCTAGGGGACAAAAATTTGTTCTTCTACCCGTAGTTTCTGAAGTAGCTTCATTCCCCACCCCCTACTTCATCTCACCCTTGCTCTATTCTTGTGCTGGTCAAAATAAATTGGCATTAAAAATCCTTAAGCCCTGTAAAAGACAGTGAACAACTTAATGGAAATTTAAAATTAATGTAATATAAAAGTAGATGCTTTATAATGCCAGAAGTTAAAATGAAAGTAAATCAACTCCAGATGGAGGTTTAAGGATTGCCTTTAAATTATTGTGTTTGTTTAAGCCAGAAAATTTTGACTTACCCTGTCCTGCGTCTGACAAAAATACCACTCTGAGAAAGAGTTACAGAATAAATGTCACCGTTCCTTTGCAAAGAATTTCCTAAAGGGAAATGGTGTAACCTCCAATAATCATTATGAAGCACTCTTCACTCTGAAAACTTAGCCTGATAGTCTAGCTTCAGGGCATTCCAAATTCTGAAAATTGACTTTTTTTTTTTTTTTTTTGCTATGGAATGGTAAGGTAAAGGTTAATTTTTATATATATGGTGTTTGTGTTGTTTTTCTTTCCTTTTTTTTTTTCTTTCTGTAAAGGTTAATTTGATAGTGGTAACTGGTCAGGATGACTAATGAAAATGGGAAAACTGCCAGGACCATGACTTGCAATTTCCAACATGTTTGATAGGAAGCAGAAGTATGGGGAATGCTTCTAAAGAATGTAAAATTTTAAAAAATAACTTTATTTTTAAATAAAATAAATTAACTTGTGTGATTGAATGAAAATAAATTCTTGGATTTAAATTTGAAACAGCAGAAATTAAACTTGGAATATGGTAATCAACTGGTTTGGTTTTGTCTTTTCATTTATATCTTAAAGGTTAATAAATCAAAAGTTATGGATTCTGTGCCCAATAATTCAAACCAGTTTTGTATAAATTGAAATTTATTATTTTTTAAATTATGAGTGGTGCTTAAGAAATACATCACTAAATTTCCCAAATGAGAGTTTTAAATTTAATAATTTATAATTTAAATTATAAATAATATTTCATACCAAGTGATATTATTTGTATTACATTAACTATTTTTTAAAACTTTAAGAGATTTGGATATAAAATTTGAACTTTTAATTTTTACTTTGTTATGGATGAAGAAACAAACATGTTAATATCTTAATTTTTTCTGTGCTTATATTACCAGAGCAGATAAGACATTGGAGATTGGGAATATTTGGACTTTGTTGAGGCATAAAAGTGATCCAAAGGAACTACGGTAAGTATCCCAGAGAAGCAGAGAAATATCTTGTATAACTCCACTGGATGCCTTACTTGATAAAGAATCATGGATTTTACAAGTTACTCTGCTTATACTCTGCTCCACACTCATTTTGCTTCCTACCTATATAGACACATAGATGTACAGTCTGTGCCAATGACTCTAGACTAGAGATGTGGGGGGTGACCACTAGCAATAGGGTACCTTCATCTGCAGCCGCATCACCACTCCTACCGCTATCTTCAAACAAAAAAACAAAAAAACTCTTTAAAAAAATTGGATACTTAAAATGTCATATTGTATATGGAAAACTTGAGCCTGGTAAAATAAGGGAGTGAGAGGCATTGGGGGAGACTGGGCTGGAAAATTCCCACATTATGAAGAGCTTATAAACCAAGCTATGAAATGTATCATTATGCTTAAAATGATGAGAAGGCATTATAGTATTATGAACACAAGGATGAGATGATCATCTCTTTGTTTAATAAAGGTCATGCTGTTTCTGTGTCAAGATGAATTGGGCAGATGCAGGTAAGGCTGGAGACAGGAAGGGGGCTATTAAAGAGCTATTCCAAAACTACAAAAGAAAAAACAACAAAGTAAGACAGAATGGTTCTTCCTTCACTCCTATCCATTATTATATGTGGTTGTCAAGTTGTGATTGGAATTATGCAGCATGAGGTCAATTCAGTCTGATGTCTTTCACTTAGCAATGTGCATTTAAAGTATCTCTGTGTCATGGCCTGCCTTGAGAGCCTATTTCTATTTACTGCTGAATATTTCTGTGAATGGATATACGGTTTGTTTATCCAGTTATCCATTGAAGAACATCTCGATTGCTCCCCATTTTTGGCAATTATGTTTTGGCTGTAAACATTCGCATGGAGGTATTTATGTAGACATAAGTTATCAGACTGCTTGGGTAAATATTTAGAAACACATTTGCTGGATTATGGTAAGATTGTGTTTAGCTTTATAAGAAACTGCCAAACTGTTTCCCAAAGTGGCTATACCATTTTGCACTCCCACCAGAAATGCGTAAGTTTGTTGTTTCAAATCCTTCTAGCATTCCATATTGTCAGTTTTGTTTTAATTTTGGGGGGATTTTTGACATTTTAATGGGTTGTATTGTTATCTCATTGATTCCTTGTAATTCTCTAATGACAAGTGATGTTGGGAATATTTCATATAGTTATCTGCCATCCATATATTCTTTGATGATGTGTCTTTCAGACTTTTTGCTTATCATATAAAAACTAGAGGTCCAGTGCATGAAATTTGTGCATGGAGGGGTTGTCCCTCAGCTTGGCCTGCACCCTCTCCAATCTGGGAACCCTTGGGGATGTCAAACTACTGGTTTAGGCCTGATCCCTGGACCTCTGCCTGCCTGCCTGATCACCCCTAACTGCCCTCCTCTGCCAGCCTGATCGCCCTTAACTGCCTCTGCCTCAGCCCCTGCCACTGTGGCTTTTTCCAGAAGGAGGACCAGACAAGATGACCAAAAAATGTCCAGTCGACACCCGGTCTAATTAGTATATTACCCTTTTATTAGTAATAGATATGCTGTTGTTAGAGCAATTTTAGGTTCACGGCAAAATGAGGCAAAAAATAGAGTTCTGCCCCTGGCTGGTTTTGCTCAGTGGATAGAGTGTTGGCCTGTGGACTGAAGGGTCCCAGGTTTGATTTCAGTCAAGGGCATATTCCTGGGTTGCAGGCTTGATCCCCAGTAGGGGGGCGTGCAGGAGGCAACTGATCAATGATATACTCTATCATCATTGATGTTTCTATCTCTCTCTATCCCCTCCTCTCTAAAATAACAAAAAATTTATATTGAAAATATAAAGTTCCCTGTTTCCCCTACCCCTATACATGTACAGCCTCCCACACTATTGGCATCCTACAACAAAGCAGTACATTTGTGACAATTGATGAATCTACAATGAGACATCAATATCACCCAGTTGACAGTTTACATTAGGGTTCACACTCTTGGGGTTGTACATTCTATGGATTTTATAAATTTATAATCCTATATAATAAAGAGGTAATATGCAAATTGACCGTCACTCCAATACACAAGATGCTGCCCCCATGTGGTAAAAGATAGCCACCCCATGTGGACACAAGATGGCCACATGGGAGGGCAGTTGTGGGCAATCAGTCCAGCAGGGAGGGACAGCTAGGAGGCACCAGGCATAGAGGGGAGGGTAGTTAGAGGTGACTGGGCTGACAGGGGAAGGCAGTTGGAGGGGGACCAGGCCAACAGAGGAGGAAAGTTAGGGGCAATCAGGCCGGCAGGGGAGTGGTTAGGGGGTGATCAGGCTGGCAAGCAGAAGCAGTTAGGGGCAACCAGGCAAAGGCAGGCAAGCAGTTGGGAGCCAGCAGTCCTGGATTGTAAAAGGGATGTCCCAGATTGGAAAGGGTGCAGGCTGGACTGAGGGACCCCCCACCCCATGCACAAATTTTGTGCACCGGGTCTCTAGTGACATATAATCACCATTATAATATCATACAGTGTAGTTTCACTGCCTTTAAACTGTGCCTATTCATCCCTCCCTTTATCATAACTACCGGCAATCAATGACATTTTAATTGTCTCCATGGTTTTTGCCTTTTTCTAAAATGTCATATATTAGGAATCACATAGTATATAGTCTTCCAAGATGGCATTTATTTACTTAGTAATACACATTTAAGATTCTTTCATGTCCTTTCATGGCTTGACTGATCATTTCTTTTTAGTACTTAATAATATCCCATGATCTGAATATTCCACTGTTTATTTATCCATTCACCTACTGAAGAACAACTTGGTTGATTCCAAGTTTTGGCAAATATGAATAAAGCTGCTATGAACATCCAGGTACAGATTTTTATGTGGACATGGGTATTCAACTCCTTTGGGTAAATACCGAGGAGCAAAATTGTTGGATTGTATGGTCAGAGTATGTTTAGTTTTGGAAGAAAATGCCAGTTTTCCAAAGTGGCTTATAATTTTACATTCCCACCAACAATAAATGGAAGTTCCTATTGCTCCACATCCTTGCTAGCATTTGGTGTCAGTGTTTTGATTTTGGCGATTCTCATAGGTGTATTGTAGTATCTCATTTTTTTCATTTTCAATTATATAATGACATATGTCATGAAGCATATTTGACATAGTTCATTGGCATCTGTCTCTTTCTTTGGCAAGGTGTCTGTTCAGATCTTTTTCTCATTTTAAAAATCAGATTGTTTTCTTATTTTTGAGTTTTAAGAGCTCTTTGTATATTCTTGATAATAGTATTTTATTAAAATATCTTTTTTTGCAAATATTTTCTCCTAGTCTATGGCTTGTCTTCTCATTCTTTTGACAGAGTTTTTCACACACAAAAAAATTTAGTTTTAAAGAGGTTCAGTTTATGTCTTTTGAGAAGTTTTCAGTGGTTATTCTATAGTTTACAATATACATATAGAATTAAATATACTTTAAAACAATACTGTACTGCTTCACAAATAGTGCAAGTTATTTTATAACATGATAGTTTCAATTCTACTTCCTATCCCATAGCATTCGTCATTCATTTCTCTTATCTAGATGTTGTAATTACCCATTACTATGATTACTTTGAGCTGTAGTTATCTATTAGATCAATTAAGAAATAAAAAGTTTAGTTTACCTTCATTTATTCCTTTTCTTGTTTTCATGTAAATCTGAATTTCTGACCTATATCATTTTTTCTACTCCATGAAGAACTCTTTTTAACCTTTCTTGCAGAACAGCTCTGCTAATGATGAATTCTGTTAGTTTCTATTTGTCTAAAAAATCGTTATTTCTCCTTTACTTTTAAAGAATAATTTCACTGGTTATAAAATTTTAGGTTGGTGTTTTATTTCTCTATGATCCCTTTAAATAATTCTTATACTTGCTCCTCAATAGTTAGATAATCCCACCCCAGTCCCAGCTTTTTGTAAGACATTATCTTTATCTTTGTTCCCCCCCCCCCCCCAGGAGTTGGAATATAATATGCTTTGGTGTTCTCTGGACTTTTTGGATCTATGGCCTTGGGAATATTAGACATCATTATATTAATTAATGATAGACATCATTAATTCTGCAATATTCTCAGTCATTAGTTCAGATATTTGTTCTCTCCATTCCCTTTCTTTTTCTTGTGGTATTCCAATTATTCCATTTTACACCATTTGAAATTATCCTACATTTATTTGATATTCTATGTTTCCCTCCCCCCATTATTTTGTCTCTTCTCATTTCAGTTTAGAAAGTTTCTATTGACATATACTGATGCTTACTTATTCTTTCCTCAGCTGTGACTGGCCTATTGATTTATAAAGAAAAAGCATTCTTTATTTCTGTTACAATACTTTTTTATTTATAGGAAATCTTATTAACTTTTTATGAAGTTCCTATTTCTCTGTTTTCATTATCCATGTATTTTTACATTTTGTCTTTTTAAATTAGAGACCCATTCATAGTTCCATCAGCTTTTGTCTATGTCAGCTGATCTTGGCTATGATTTTCTGTATTTGCCTGTTTTTCTCAAGTCCAGCAACTTCCAATTTTTAATGGTCTAAGAAAAGTAACTTGGAATTTTTTTTTATTGTAAGTAGGTTCCAGAGCTCATTTACCATATTGTTATTGATGCATCTTCAATATTTTTTCCATTTTATTTCAGCTCTTACATGCATTATATGTATTTTAGTATATTTTAAGTGTGTAACAATACTAAGACAAATTGCACTGACCTTCAGTGGCAACATAGGGCTTGAAATAGAATTAACTGATAAGTTTTTAACATTTCAAAATTAGTGTTATTTAGTTTATTTCTAATTTTTCAAGTTACTCATATTCACCTAACTTTACAGATTTTATAAGAATGTGTAGTATATGCCTATGTGACCAGCCAACTGGCCAGTAGCTATGATGCACACTGACTACCAGGGGGCAGATGCTCAACACAGAAGTGGAAATCACAGGCCCGAAAACATGGAACAGATTAATGAATCTCAGAGGGAATGGGGGAGAAGGAAGGGTGGAAAGGGTTTAACCAAAGATCTTATATGCATATTAGAGGCCCAGTGCATGAATTCGTGCACTGGTGGAGATCCCTCAGATTGGCCTGTGACAATGGGGCCAAAACCAGCTCTCTAACATTCTCTGAAGGGTCCCAGATTGTGAGAGGGCACAGGCAAGGCCAAGGTATCCCATTGTGCACCGGGCCTCTCGTATAGATATAAAATCACAAACTTTGCATATCTCCTATTAATAATAATAATGTGCTAATTTTTTATATGCTCATAAACTTATATCTTATCTTTAGCCTTAATAATCCCAGATTCATTACTTTATTCAAATTAAAAGGTTGCATTTTACATTAACTTTGTTGATTTTCTTTTCTTTTTACCAAAAAATGACACGAGCATATTCTCTTGCTGGTAATTTATTTAAGAGTAAATTGTCAGCCAAAACCAAAATCTAACAGCTAGAAATTATGGACAGAGAGCAATGTTTCCACACAACTCACTGAGGTAGTTTATAGGAAGATTTCTTTATACTTCATCTTTTTATTCACTTTGTTCTGATATAAATTAACTTTGAAAGTTCACCAAATCACTGTCATATTCATTTATTTATTACTGGTTATATACATGCTTCTTAATGGATGTGTGGTTGATAAGGCTCATGTGGTGTGATTGGAATGTCAATTATAAATTATTGATAGTGATTTATCAATTAGCTTCTTTTTCTGTTTTGTTTTTTCTAGCATTTTTTTTTTTCTTAATAACATTTTGGGTCAGAGGGGAGAGAAGAAAGAAAGTGTGGGAGAGAAAGAAGTAAATGTAATACCAGTCTCTTGCATTAAATCACCTAAAATCTTTATACACACTTTCTGAAGCCATATTGTCATTGGTATGTTCTGCTTTTGAAGTAATTGGCTCAGATTTTGATGCATATGTTGGCAAAATCACACAACTTAACCAGCTCTCTTCTAGCTGTCCAAACTCATTCGCACTTCACAGTGTGGGATATAAAAACAATCTGCACCATAACAGGGAGTACTTTTGGATAAAGAAAGAATAGAGTGTCCTCACAAAACCCTTATGTCAAATCCAAGGTATTTGGTTCAATGATCTTCTTTGGTATATGCTCTTCTGGGGGGGTGGGGGGGTGAGAAGAGGTGGTGGGGTATTTAAAGTGGTAGGTCATGTTGGTAGCTATTACCAAATGCATTTATTAAATATCAGGGTTGTATGTAAGCCCATTAAGAATGAATTCAACAGTGATTAATAATTCCTTCTGTAGAACAACTAGAGAAAAGAAAAGTCAGATATATATTTTTTCTATGAGTTTTAGAGTTTGAGACAAATGTTCACAGGTTTAACCCATTTCATTCACTCATGAAACAAGTCTTTACTAACCACTATTACAGGCATGGCATTGAGCTGGTTGCTGAGTAACAGTATTAGCCCTGAGGCTTTATTTTGTTGTTCATTCACTCAATATTCATTGAGAAACTAGAATGCACCAGCCTCCTTTAGGATGTAGAGAGGTAACCAAATAAATCAAAGATTTGTCCCTGAAGCTTTATGGTCTTTAGAAATACAAATATTAAATCCAAAAATAAGCCAATAGTATAATATAGGGTAATAAGTCCTATGGAGAAAAATAAAGCAGAAAAATGGAAAAGGAGTGGAGGGGTTGGAATGGGGTATATTTTAAGAAGGGTGAGCAAGGAAAACTTCACTGATAAGTTGTTATCTTGGCAGAGACTTAAAGTGGGTAATGAAGTAGGCCATCTACATATCTGGGGAGAGAATGTTCCAGACAGAACACAGATCAAATGCCAAGGCCCTGGGACATATATACACCTGGCAAGTTCAAGTAAAAGGAGGCAACCATTGTGGCTGGAGTAGAGTGAATGGAAAGAGTGGAAGAAGTTAAGCAGATGAGTGTAAGGATGTCAATTGGAGGCGGAGAAACATCAGATCATCATGAGAAAAGTGATGTAATCTTATTGCTGTGTGGATAACAGACTATCGGGGTTAGGGCAAGGGAAGTAGTGAGAGCAATGAGGAGCTTGCAGTGATAACTGAGATCCTGGCAGCTTGGACCAATGGAGGTGATGGGAAATAAATTTGCTTCTGGATTGGCTGTGGAGTATGAGAGACAAAGAGGAAATTGGAAGGATGAAGTGCCATTTCCTGGGATGAGAAAAAGCTGTGGGTAGAGAAGAGACGATTTTAGAGGAAAAGTCAGGAGTTAGTTTTGAACAAGTATCGTTTCTGACATCATTTTGATATGCTATGGTGATGTTAAAAGGCAGTGGGATGTAAGAGCCTGGAGTGGAGGGTAGAGATCCAGGCTAGAGATGTAAATTTGCAAATATCTCAGTATAAAGGTGGTATTTGAAGACACAAGATGGATGAGGTCACCTGGAGACAGCATGGATGAAGGAGCAGCCTGAACACTGAGGCACCACTAACGTTTAATAGTTGGGTTGATGAGGGGGAAATCAGTAAAGGTGACACAAAATATAGTAGGAGGAAAGCTAAGAGAGTTTAGAATCCCAGAAGCTATAAAGAGAAAGTTTTTAATGAACAAAGTGTTGACCAACTGTTTTGAATACTGCAAATAAGTAAGAGGAGGACTTATAATTGGATTTAACTATGTGAAATCATTGGCAATGAGCTGGTGTGGATAACAGCTTAATTGGAGTCGGCTCAAGAGAATATAGAGAAGAGGAACAAAGAAGTAAACATAAGCTTTTAAGCTATTATCCAACATCACATAACAGTTCTTGGCAATGTACCCATCTTAAACATTTATTAGCTATAATTTTGTTTGATGGCACCATGGTGAATCACACAAATTTAGTGAGATGTATATTCAGTGACTATTTAGTAGTGCAGCAAATTTAGTTTTAATGTGCAATGCTATAGAACCAAGACCAGACGGAATGAAAGTAGGGGATAATGTGGTGAAGCAGTCCTTAGAAGTGGTGTTTTTTGTTGTTGTTGTTGTTGTTTTGTGTTTTTTTTGTGTGTGTTTTTGATTTTGCAGGAAATCTCTTGGATCTTTCCCTCATTTTCTTTCCCATTTAAACTAGACCTTGACCTCTGCTTCCCTAAGGGAAGGGAAGCCAGAGCACAAACACAAAGAGAAACCAGGTATTTGTCCCTGGACTTTAGCATTCCAAAGGCCAAGATCTTGTCTTTTAAGATTAGATTATAGTCAGAACCCCCTTCTTACTCTCGGCCCTTAAACACCCCCATCCTTAGATGCCTAGGAAGAGAAAGGACATCAGAGAGAAATTTTGTTGTGGGCCTATGTCCCTTCCCTAGGTTGAGCCAGTGATATAAGATTAGAGAAGAATAAAGGGGCAGAGATACCCCTAGGTAGGTTTAGGGCATTTAGAACAGGGGAGGACAGCTCCTCCATAACCTATCTTGGCCCTAAAAGCCCTCATCAAATGCCTCAGGACTAAGGAGGGACAGGAAGGGCAGCTCATGAGATGACCAGGCAGATAAATCCCAAACAGGACAGAGAGCTACTGTCCAGATGCTTGGTACACCCAAATGCTGGCCACAGCTGTGCAGCCAAGAGCCAGTGGGCCTGCGCATGTCCTATACTCTGCCAGGGGATTTCAACAGCAGATGTGCTCAGGTTCATCAGTGGATGGTACACAGGGGAAAGAACACCTAGTATACCTACACCAGCAGACAACTGGAGAGACACATGGAGAAGGACTTCCAGTGCTTGATGTAAGCCCTCCTGTGTTTTATCTCACAACAGGGAGAAAAGAGGTGGTATTAAAACCTTACAGTGGCTGAATCAACCATTATTCCACTAAAACAAACAAACAAACACAGAAATTACAGGCTACACTCACATAAAAATGGACTACTTTAACTTTCATGTCAGAACACAAAATAAGACTTAGCATTAATATTAGGTTGTTTTAGAGAAGTTTACCAACCACAACTGCATAGAAAGTGTTCTTACAAGCTCTTTGGGAGAAGCGGTGATGCAAGGACATGTAATACTGTACTTGGAAGAACTGAATTTGAATCCTTGCCCTGTTCCTTTCCCTGGAATCCCAAGCAAGGTAATGATGCTCCCTGCACTCTAGTGCCTATATATATATATATATATATATATATATATATATATATATATATATAATTATATAATTATTATTATTTAATTCTATTGTTTATGGTATCACATAATTGTTCTCATCCCCTCATTCCCGTCCCAAACCCCAACCCACATATGCCCCCACCTCCCTGTTGTCCATGGCCACTGGCTAGGCCCATATGCATGCACACAAGTCCTTTGGTTGATCTCTCCCCCTTCCCCCCACCCTCCCCTACTTTTCCTCTGAGGGTTGAGAGTCTGATCGCTGCTTCTCTTTCTCTGGGTCTGTTTTTGTTCATTATTTCCTCTAGATGTGTGAGATCATGTGATCCAAGAAATACCCTTGTAAGAACCGAAACTGAGACAAGCCAAAATGGTTATGCTGAGAGGTAAATGAGTCTGTAATGAGTTCTAAAAGGAGGATAAGTAAGTGTACCTCACAAGACTACTGTGATGATCAAATTTCATGTATATGTATTTTGTAAACTCTAATTGTTCCAAACTAAAGGGTAAAAAAACTGGTGCCAGGGGCTGCAATGTACCAGGCTCCTTTTCTATGGTAAAATTCTATGCCTTTTTCTAGAGGCCCGCTGCATAGGATTTATGCATTGGTGGGGAGCATGGCCTGCTGTGGCAGCGCTGCTCATCCCAGTCAGCCAAGCAGCACTCCCACTGTACTGTGGGAGCGCACTGACCACCAGGGGGCAGCTCCTGCATTGAGCATCTTCTTCCTGGTGGTCAGTGCACATCATAGCAACTGGTCGACCTGTTGTTCTAGTCATTCCACCATTTGGTTGCTGGGCTTTTATTATATAGAATATTTCATATACAGGATGGGGCAAAAGGCTTACAGTTATTAATATGTAAAATAATACAATAATTAATAATACAAGAATAAATTCTGTGTTTCGTGTACTCACAACTACAAACCTACTTTTGCCCACCACTGTGTAATATATTACATTTCATTACATTATATTACATTCTGAGCTTTTCTGGGATAGCCTTATTGTACTGCTATCATCTTGGCATACTTTTTGATAATACCCCTTTCACTCTCAAAAGTATTTTGGTTTGGATGATAAATTACATGGTCACCCGTTATTTACTTTCTATACAATCTCCTTGCAGGATAAAGAAGGTATTTTTATCTTTTCCATGGGTGAGGCACCTGAAGCTTAAGTGGCTTTAGTAATATATCTATGCTCTCACAGCTGTTCTCCCTGCATTACTGAAAATCAAACCTAAGCCCATCAGCTTGAGAGGTCTGTTCTGGCTGCTGTCCAATCGTGCCAGGTATCACATTACCCTGCTGATGGTGCATGTGTAGATTGGAGCACTTCCTCCGAGCGCAGAGCATGGGTCCATGTGGACTGACAGCAGCAAGTCAAGAGCAGAGTGCAGGCTGAGCTTTGAATTCCTGAGCCGGCAGCCTCCCAAATCCTGTTTACCTTCAGTGATCTGGCCTTCGCCTTGGCTTGGCAAGCAGTACAAAAGCATGCAGATTAGCTGTAAGCAAAGCAGCTCAGAAGCATTACAGGAACAACCCATTTCTTCAGTTTTCTTTTTATTTGGGCTTTATTTAAAAAATTCTTAAAAGAAAAATCAACATCTCCCTCAAATCTGCCTTTTCCTTGGCATTCCAAAGCTTTTAATTGTGTCCAGTTTATAAATCTAATTTGTGAACCCTCAAGAAAAAAGAGGCCATGTTTGCTTCTGTTAAGCTTGGAGTAAAGGTTTATGCCAGATCTCATTTTAACAGAATGAATTCACTATTCCCTGGTAAACTCTGGATATGAGTTGTAAATATTCTGGTGACCAAAAAGACTCTCTGGCTCTGGTTTATGAAATTATGTGATCTTGATATTATAAATCAAAAAGATTAAAATCTTGGCCTGAAAAATGAATATTATTCCTACTGTAAAATTTGCTTTAGGCAAAAAAAAAAAAAAAAAAAAAAAAAAAAAAAAAAAAAAAAAAAAAAAAGGCCGCATTTTGCAACATTGTTTGGCTAAAACTGGTTCTTTACAAGTCAAAGGAGATGGATATGTGAGGGAATGGTCTTTAGTTAATTCAAGCTGATATCATCTGAACAAAGAAGGAAAAAAGGAAGAATCATTTGATAATTGTAATTATGCAGATAATATTCATTACCAAGATAGTGAGGGCATAAATTACCATCCTCTTATACTGATAAAAGATGAGGAAATGGCAACTTTGTTTTGAAATAAATGTGCTTGTAGACCTTGTATGGAAATTGTGCCCACTGACCCAGACACTGCTATCAAAATGGCATGAACATTCAACATCAAACAAAATATTACCCCAGAATGGTGAACAGGAGGCAATAGTTTAATTCATTAGAAGGTAGGCTGTGAGCAATGCATGTATTAAGATGCTGAATGAGAAAAGAGAGACACTTTCTATTTGGGAAAATGTGTGTTTATAAAATTGGAATGAATCCTTCTACAATTTCTACAGGATGAAAAAGGCGTTTCAGGGATCGAAGAGCACATCTAGAATCCGGATGGATAACAGAAATGACACATATTCAACATGATATACACGACTCCCTCAGAGGAGCAGGGAGCAGCCTCTGGATCTGGGATGCACTTCACAGAGAGAGTGGTCAGGAAGATCCCAGGAGGCGCTACAAAAGTTGCAAGCAGACTTGCAGCCCAGGGCGTGAGTGCAACACATCCTAAGATCATGTGGACTGAGGGCGGGGTAGGGGGGGAAAGCTAGAGGGAGATGTTTCCAGAAGGTAAGGTTATAGGTACGTTCAAAGCAAATTACAAGTGAAGCACCCAGAAGTCCTGGCAGAATGGCCACCATGGGGGTTCTGGGGATCCCAAAAGGACCCCTGGAAATGCTAACTGCAGTAAGACAAGAAGGGGTAAAGAAAGAACGCAGAGCTGCAAACAACAATGACCTAAAGAACAGCAGAGGAAGGAGATGCCAGAAATGGTCTGCTCTGGTGAGCCTCCTGCTTCTGAAAGGATGTGGAGCTGAGTGCTGCAAGAATCAAATTTAAAGACGCTGAAACAAGTTTCCATCCATGTGGGCACATGACACCTGGTCAGGAATAATCTTAGGGTATTCGTGATCGGGGAAGAGCATCATGTGTGATGACTTGGTACATCAGCCCCTGATGACCAGGGCAGAGGCACTGGGGGGACAGGAAGTGAATTGGAGAAGGTCACTTTCATTCAATGACTTACTCCATAGGCATTCAGAGATTTTAAAAATACTCAATATGAATGTGTCTATTTAGCACTGAAATTTTGGTCTTTACATGAGCATCCACCTTTTGGACAATGATCCCATTAAATTCACTAACCGTTAATGTTGTGTCTAACAGGGACTCAGAAAAAAGAGGGTATGCTTATTTATTCTTTCTGAAAACCAAGAACATTTTCACTTTTTTTTTTTTTTTTATAACTTCCTCTCTGGCTTCCCTTCTATAAGCTGAATTCTTTTCTTTCTTTCTTTTTTTTTAATATATTTTATTGATTTTTTTACAGAGAGGAAGGGAAAGAGATAGAGAGCTAGGAACGTGATGAGAGAGAGACATCAACCAGCTGCCTTTTGCACACCCCCTCCCGGGGATGTGCCCAATGTACATGCCCTTGACCGGAATCGAACTTGGGACCTTTCAGTCCTCAGACCGATGCTCTGCCACTGAGCCAAACCGGTTTCGGCTATAAGCTGAATTCTGACACCTAACTCTAAACACTTAAGAAAATATTAAAATGTATATTAGACTTAAAACAAAAACAAAAACAAAACATGTATCCACATCCACTATGCCAAAGGGAAACACCATACTAGGCACTGTTGGCCAGGGAGGGGGATGAACTCTAGAAGCACAAGAACTCGGTCTCTGCAGTGCAGATGGGGAGAGAGCTGTTCACAAATATCAGTTCGCAGCAGAGTGTGACCTGTGTTATGCATTGAAGTGACAGAGGCCACTGTTTAGGAGAGTGTAGAACATTTAATTCTAACAGAGGGAATTCTACTTTTAGTAATTAATCAAAAAATATCTACTGGACAAATACAGAAAAAATATGGACCCAATGATTCTTGTGTCAGTATTTAGCCTACACTGGATTGTGCCAGCATGTCAATTACTCTGATACTAGATTTGGAGTAATAGAAAAATATTTAAAATAAAGTGCATGTATATGTAAAAATGATCTTTAGGACCAGTCTACAGATTCTCACTATCCTCCTTTTGTGCCTGTAGCAGGCATTACTAATTGATGATAGCATTTTCCTCTGTGCTCATTGCAGGGCCTTAGAATCCTTCTGCCTTCTTCTTCTTTTAAATGTTTTTATTGATTTCAGAGAGAAAGGGAGAAGGAGAGAGAGAAACATCAGTGATGAGAGAGAACCATTGGTCTGTTGCTTTCTGCCTGCCCCCTACTGGGGATCAAGCCCACAACCCAGGCATGTGCCCTGACCAGGAATTGAACCAGTGACCTTCTGGTTCATAGGTCAAGGCTCAACCACTGAGCAACACTGGCCGGGCAGAATCCCCCTTTCTTGACATATGGCTGCTGAGAGATGCTACCAGCTGACTGAGGTGACCAAGATGCCTGCCTTGTACTATCCAGGACACAGACACTCCTCCTCATGCCATGCTGTCTTCGATCTGTGGGCGTCCTTGGTCTGGTGGGAACAAGGAAGGTGGAGCAGGGGGGAACTGAGGTTTCTCACTTCTGCTTCTGGTTAACATTTTGCATTTCAGAATAAGACTTCTTTGGGCAATGAATTTACTACTGAGAATGGGAAAACTATGAAGATTTCCTAAAGTGGGCCCTTTATGCCTTTTTGTAATCTCCTGAACTGATAAGGACAACCTATCAGTTATAATTATAAAATAATGACTATATAATACACAACAAGCAAACTATTCTGTTCATGAACAACTTTGCCATAAATACACCCTGGCTCACTCCTGATTTTAATCCTTTCAAATTTAAATTTCATGATATTTCATTCATGTTACAGTATTTAACTCTGTAAGAAGTGATGAATTATTTTGATTGTGTAAGTAAATTTAAACTCAAGTGGTTAGCAGTATACTTCTCTTATGCAGGTGAAAAGTTAACCTGCTACAGAAGTGTAATAATATAACCATTTTGGAAAATTATATGGCAATATCTACTACAGCTAAAAATATGCTTACCCTGTGACCCAGCAATTTCACTCTTAGATTTATTCAAAAAGCATACATATGTTCACCAAAAGATAGCAGTAATATTCATAAGAATCCCAAATTGGAAATTTCACAAATGCCCAAGAACAGAATGGCTACACTGTCATATGACAATCAATAAAATATTTTACAGCTGTGGTCGGCAAACTGCGACTCACAAGCCACATGCTGTCCTTTGGCCCTTTGAGTGCAGTTCTTCCACAAAATACCATGGCCTGGGCGAGTCCATTTTGAAGAAGTGGCTTTAGGAGAAGTTTAAGTTTAAAAAATTTGGCTCTCAAAAGAAATTTCAATCATTGTACTGTAGGTATTTGGCTCTATTGACTAATGAGTTTGCCGACCACTGCTTTACAGTAACACAAATAGACAACTTAGATCAATCTTCCAAATGTAAAATTTAGTGAAAGTACTCAGACACAAAAAGAGGTTATACTGTGTACTTCCAGGTATGTGTAGTTCAAAAACAGGCAAACCAGTCTATGTGTTGGAAGTTAATCTGCAGGGCTGATTTCTCAGATGCTTTTTGTTTGTGAAAATTTGCACAGCTTTAAACTTATAATTTGTGTATTTTTCTATATGTCCGATGCTTCAATAAAATTTAAATAAAGAAACCACAAACTAATAGTCAACCCAATACACTGAGCAGTAGGTCGTGAACTTCAAGCTTTATAGACAGTCAGATCTGGGCTAGGATGTAGGCTCCACGGCTAATTTGCCACGTGACCTGCACAAGTTATTGAGGATCACTGTTTCATTGTCCTTATTTGAAACAGGGATAAGAATATCTAACTCACAGGCTTGTTATGACAGTTAAATGGCATAATATTTTTTTAATATATTTTATTGATTTTTTACAGAGAGGAAGAGAGAGGGATAGAGAGTTAGAAACATTGATGAGAGAGAATCATCGATTAGCTGCCTCTTGCACTCCCCCTACTGGGGATGTGCCCGCAACCAAAGTACTTGCCCTTGACTGGAATCGAACCCGGGACCTTTTAGTCCACAGGCCGATGCTCTATCCATTGAGCCAAACCGGTTTCTGCTAAGTGGCATAATAAATATCAAGAACTTAGTATAATGTCTAACATGTCACCATAATATATAATAATAACAGCTAACATTTATACAACATGTCCTGTGTACCCAGTTCTGTTCTAGGGACTTAATTTTTCTTCTTAAAACCCTGTAGGTGGGGCCTTTATTTGACAAAAGAGGAAAGTGTAGCATAGACTTTAAATTATGCATCCAAGATAACACTGCTATGAGGGGAGGGAAGCCAGAATTAAAATCCAATCAGGCTACATATTCAACCGCTGTATTACCTTGTGTAATAAGGACCTAATAAATGGTAGGTATTACTATTATGAGCACAAACACTGGCAGAGATGTAGGAGGTTATAGGGAAGAATTGAGTGTGGGCTAAATTGCTGTTCTGCAGGAGGCAAATGGTAACTCTAGGGGTTAGGCTTTGAAATTCTGTGCTTTATGGCTGCTCCTATTATTATGCAATCACCATACTTAATTGGGACAGGAAATAGAAGTACATAAATGCAGTATTATCACTGCACTTTATAAGTAGAGACAACAGCTGCATGGAAGGTAAGTGACAAGCTCAGCCTCGGTCGAATTAGAGCCCACGCAGGTAGAATATACTTCAGGAAAACTGTCTACCTTGTTAGGTTGTATCCAAAATCGGTCTTGGCTTTGGTGGAACGTTGGGTGATTATTTCCCCCCCAGTATTTCCAACATTTTTTATAATGAACATGCTTTATTTCACAGTGGAAAAATGACTTGAAAAAGAAAATCAAGTGAAAACAAAAATCAATCTCTGTACAGCAATAAGAACCACATGTCTTTTAAATGGAAAACATGCTTATTTCTCCTTTGTTTCTTAGAAGTAGCTTGCCAGACACAGTCCACAGCTTTGAATCATTTACATAAACACACCCAAGCCAAGTGTTTGCACGCAACAGTTAAATTGCACCCACATTGGCAACCGAATGACTTCAAAGGGTAATGGTAAAAACTGATATTCACTTAGGTTGAACTTACTTTAGATATTTCTGACAAGCCATCCACCACTGATTTCGGTAGACTTTAGCATCCTAAGTAACTTTGAAGGAAAACTTTATTAATCCTGAGTGGGGGGAAAAGTACTAAGTGGTAGCAAAAGGTACAAATTCTTAATTGTGACCATCCACTAGAGGGCGCTACCAGTACTATTGATACTATGTACAAAACTCTCAGGAAAAGTTCAACATCCCTTTTACCTTTACTTCCCTCTGCCCCAAGCACAGAAGGCTAATGTGATGAGGTCACTATAATTCCAATGTCATAGTTTTTCCTGCATAAATCAGGTCAGTTTCTCTTCCTTATGAAGGGATCAATGTGTTATATTTGCTGTTAAGACTGCCTCGCCCTGGCTGGTTTGGCTCAGTGGATAGAGAGTTGGACTGCGGACTGAAGGGTCACAGGTTTGATTCTGGTCAAGGGCACATGCTTGGGTTGTGGGCTCGATCCCCAGTAGGGGGCGTGCAGGAGGCAACCAAC